ACGTTGATGAAAGGTACAGTATAGAAATATGTTGTAGTTTTCGGGGACACTCAAGCTTTGGAATTCACCAAACGTATGTTACAATTTCTCGCTAAGTTTACCTATGACACCTCTCAACTTTACAATGACAATGACAATGACAATGACAATCTTTGTTCATCTCACACGGAGAAATTTGTGTTGGTCTTTAACAATGGCAGTAGACGGTACAAAAGTCAGACCTAAAGGTGGACTCACGCAAACGAACAACAAGACAGGACAATTGGCCTAGTAAATACTTGTCTCACGTACTGGGACAACCCGCTCCGTAAAACATTCTTTCTCTCTCTCTCTCTCTCTCTCTCTCTCTCTCTCTCTCTCTCTCTCTCTCTCTCTCTCTCTTTCAATCGCAACAAACATCTCGACTTCTATTCAAGACTGATGGATTTCGTTTCAGAAGCAGGTCCAATAAACAGGCCTTTAGGTGACACCAATACTGCCCTGATCTGAGAAAACGTAGTTATCATTTTGGCGGAAATTTTTTTAATTCCCCTTATGAATTCTACATGTCGAAAGCCATCTTGAGATACATGTATTAATATTAAAGTCTAACTGTGACTAGTTTTTGAATAAATTAGCGTTTGTTAAAACGCATTTATTTCCAATGTGATTTTATGAAACGTATTGTTTTTCTAAGATGATCAGATGAAGCGCATTTTTTTCTTGCGTATCGACCCTCCCTAACTGCCACGATCTGATGAAACGCATTTTTTTTGTCAATCTCGGGAAGATAAATGTGTTCTATCAGATCACAGGTAAATGGCCCAACGAGCCCAAAAGTATAAGAGCGCCCGATTCCAAGGTGACCAAAGAGGTTATAGTAGTGCTAGAGGTCGCAGCTGTGACGTCACCCACGTAAACTCACTATTGCTGTGTGGCCCCTCTCCACTCGCTTTGAGAGGATTAGAGACAGCGTTGTCACCTTGCGCGTCCCTCGCAACGCCTAGATGTTCATAGAGTTTGAAGCTCGGTTTAGTTTTCTTTTCGCTTGCTGTTGTTGTTTTATCATATAACATACACGTATACGCAATACCGCACTTGCTGACATTGTGGGAAACATAAATGCACTTAAATGTGGGCTACAAATGAACAGAGAGATATAACATGAGGTATTGTTTGTCTTTCCCGGGTGGGGTGGGGGAGGGGCGGAGGGAGACATAGTGAGTAATTGAGTTTGTTAAGACAATCTCATTTAAAGCTATACAATCACAAGAATTCCTTTGAGTACATTTTAGCGATGGGCAAAGCACATGAAAAAGACATCAACATCAAAAGACTTTGCGGGGTATGATTAATTCGTGATTAAAAAGTGTTGCTGAGCACCGACTGGCCTTTTATTCCTCTCCGGAATGGCGGCACGCCCCTCAAGTTTGACACTCGTGACGTCACAGCTAAGACCCCTAGTTCTATCTATAACCTCTTTGACCTTGACACAAATAGAGATCAGAAGTATAATTGTTTTGTTTTTTAGTAAGAGTCCAACGATTTAATATCCACAACCAGGTGAAGAGCACAGGGGAAAAACGATGGTAGTCACAAACTGGAAATTGTGAGGGTGCCAATTTTAAAAGCTTGTGGACTCATAACTTCGTATGTATTTGTTTGACTGGTGGTATATTGTTAATTGTTGTTGAATGGGAAATCTAACAATAATAATCAACCAACAGTTCAACAGAAATACAGTTATGAGTCAACAAGCGTTCAATTTGTATCCTTACGATTTTCAGTTTGTGACTACCATCGTTTTCCCCCTGTAGTCTTCAGGTCATTTTGAATAAACTTCAGATATGTCGAAAATGCAATTTTAATAGTAGGTTTGGAATTGCTTCCAGACAGTGTTGTAACGAAAAGAGTATGTGAAAGGTTTCTGTTGAATATGAAAAAAAATAAAACAGAAAGCATGATAATATTTTCAAAACCCAGTAAACCTTATTGTTAATCTCATAAGCAAAGGTGAAAAGATCAAACAGGTTCAACAGTTTAAAAAATTAGGATGATTACACCTGGTGCAAAATTAAATGCTAATGATAGTTTCAATAAAATGAACCCAATCCTGAAAAATAGAGATATCTCAAAGACTATCAAAATAAAAAGTCTGAAAGGCTAAGCGTAGTCCACCTTTCTATATTATGGTTGTGAATGCTGGACGATCGCTATAGACAGTGAAAATAAAACTGAACAAACAAAAAATAAATGTGGTTTCTTGGGAGACTGATGAGAATTTCTTGGAAGAAAAAGAAATCAAATGAGGTAGTACTTGAATGGAAAAGAAATCAACCGAGGTAGTACTTGAAAGGAAAAGAAATCAAATGACGTAGTACTTGATGAAGCCCCCGAAGGTCGCTGGCTTATAAGTTACGACAAACCTTTGGTTTTGCTTCTAATCAGTGAAACAAGCCGTGCAAATAATAGTGGGTGGTTGGCGGGCGCTCTAGTGTGGTTTTCTCCTTCTTTCCTAACAAGCATCTATCGTCCAGATCTCTCCTTCTTCTTTTTTGTGATTGTTACTATCTTGTAACACCTCTAATCTTCGGCACTTATTAGTTATTACGATCGCGTTGTGTTGGAATGCTGTAAACCTCTTACTAAACTAAAAATAAAAACTATAGTGCTCTAAAAATGTATGGCGCAACTTATTGTCAAATATCTCCTTAACTATCTTTCACAGATTCTCCAACTTTAACACAATGACTTATTTCAATTTGTCTTAAAGGGTGAATATTTTTTTCAAACTCGTGCACACTGTATTCTAGAAAATTCCTTAATAAATACTTATTAAAAAATCGCAGGCCGTGGTTTCTACAGATATTAAAATAATTACAGCTCGTGCATTATCACTTTTAAAAGTAAGTCTGTCATTTTTTTTTCTTTCTAAATGCAACTTTATTCTTATTGAATATGTGTTTAGGGGACATTTAGTGTGAAAAATGTGTTCGCTTTTAAAATATTAATTTTTTGTAAGAAGTCTTGCCTCTAACAAGTGTCACTGGCGAGCTGTGACGTAGGCCATATTATTTATGCGTATGCAAAATGTGTGCGAGGAGCGGGAAGTGCTGTGAACAATCCAATTTTCAGCGTGATTAGGATTTATAGTATTTCATATACATTTATGAAAAAACGTGTTTTAATCGAGCCCACTTTGTTGTGGAAAAATTAGATTAAGTTATGACAAATTGATACAAACTGATGTGCAAAGTATGGGTGATATTGATTCACCAGTGTAAGAGATATTTGAGGATAAGTTGCGCCACGAATTTTTGCCTGCAGTATAATGTATATTATTATATTTATGTTTTTAGTCCACAACAGAAAAGAGGTATTGTTGGTCCACCTACTTGACATTGTTGATGGGTTTCCTAACGACCTGAGGAAAAGAAAAATCATCATTATCATCATTATCATCATCATCCTCATCATCATCATCATCATCATCATCATCATCATAACCATTGCTATCACCAAAGTTATCATCTTTTTCATCATCAATATAAATGTGCAGGCGTCTACAGCATCCATTTATCTAGGACCTAATTTTTAAAAATCCCCGCAAACTGTTTTCCTCTATTTTTTTCCAGAATGCTTTGTTTCGTCCACACAGAGTTTAAGGCCTAGGCTTACTTACGTTCAACAATTTCGCAGTCTCATTTTTTTAAAAACCGGACGTGAGGTTTCCGTTCACCAGCCGTGCGCACTTTTTCCACACCCTTGAAATTATGGGGTGTCCAACCATGGAAGCAGAATAGAGAATCAATCTATTCATCTCTTATATATTTGGCAACTTGGAAACATGTGTCACTTTTTCTCAAGATGTATTGCTCTACTCCAGTAGAGTGTAAATATAGTAGGCCAACGACTTTCAGTTGATGTCAATGCACAGATCGTTCCTTTCTTCGAAAGAGAGCCCAGCTAGTAATAATATAATTTTACACCTTTTTAGGGACTTTTTGCCCCCCTTCTTACACCTTTCTTAACTCCCCCCCCCCCCCCAAACAAATCCCGTAATATTACATTGTTCGCTTATAACAACAATAATTGACATTTATATCCCGTAAATCCGTGGTACAATCATTGTTCTATGCGCTTTACATAATTTTCATGAAAAACATGCATACACACATGCATGCACATACATGTAATAATAGTAGATGCAGTTCTACATTCACTAAGAAATAACAGAGTAAATTATTCAAGCTAATAAATATTGCTTACACTCTTTCTTACTTAATACTAAATAAGAATAAAAATTGAGACTCATGTAAATTGTCAAAAGCGCTTGAACTACAAATTAAACAAAATGCCGTGGAATTCTGATAAAGTCAACACCTCGGGACCGAGAAAAAGTGTTGACTTTGAGCAAGGTTGACTTTATCCATTGCACTACTGGCCATTGAACGTTGAAGATGACAGCTATAAAATTACAAAGTTTCTGGTCACAAGATGTTAACTCAATTTCACTGAGTTTGATTCTGAAGTTGTCACCAAAACAAGAGATATTGAGTGAACAAAGTACTTGTAATTGGAGGTGTGTACACCACTAGCTCAGGCCCTAAATATCTCTTCTGAAATGAATTTGTCTTGGGATGTAGCCCGAAATTGTTGACTTAACGCAAGGTAAACACTCAAACGGTTGACTATCAGAAACACAAACTTAAACAAAGAAGGTACAAAACGGGACCACAGTGAGGCGTTGACTAAAAGCAAGAGTTGACTTTAATTAAGCAAGTTGACTTTATCAGGATTCCACTGTATCTGTTATTACAGATCGTGCTCCAAGTGAAGAGTTAACTCTCTTCTTATGTGGAGTTTTTTTTATAATTTATTTTGTTGTCATAATTGTTTTCCTTGTTATTTTTTCACCTCACAAAAGTATAATATTGCATTGGTTC